CTAGTACTGTATATCCAAAGGAAAAAAAAAAATATATATATTTTTTTTTATTTGCATTAACTTATTTTAATGCTTATTTTGTATTTTTTTTATCATTAAGTTATTTTGGAAGTTTGCCCCCCAGTTGATAACCACTGTCCTATACAATATGATGTGATGTATTTATAAATTGCAAGTAGGAAGGAGATTTGGCAGTAGTGACAGATAAAATAATATCAATTTCTTTAAGATGTATTTTTTTAATAATTTAATTTGTAAGTTTTTTTTAAATAAAATATATAGGAATGGTCATTCAGACTTTTATGGTTAAAAATAAATATATAAAAATGGGAAAAAATTACCTTTTTTGTATATTAAAAAAGAGCAACTTGAACATTCTGGAAAACATCTCCTTTTGTGTTGCACAAAAGAAAGAAAGAGATTTGAATGATGGGTACATGAGTACACTTAAGCACACTTGTCTGTGTGTGTATACACAATATTATTTTTTACTTAACTGAAGGTGAAAAAATAGTGTAATTTGCATTTCTCTGACTCCTGGATCTATAAAAAAGTAATCTGTGTGGGTCAGATTTCATTCTACAGTATCTTGATAAAAGGCCGGTTTCTCCCTCACACCCTTGTCTGTGGGACCATTTATTATGGGATTAGATCCATTTACGGAGGGATTTTAAAGGATTTTCTGCTGGCCGTCAAGGACACTAATGTGTGTGTGCAAGGCAGGTTGCATGCAAACAGAGGGAAGAGCAGAAAGAAGAGGGATAGACGGTGGAGTAAAGAGTGGAGCTGTGTAATTGGGGATCAGTTGAGGGATGAATTGTGAAGAGTCTTGGGTTTTAAGCCCGTGTCAGCTAATTGAGAGGTAAAGGTGGAGGTAAATCCAGCAGACAGGAGAACTTAATCTGATCCACAATGCTTTGGAGAGGGTTGTTTAGTTTATTGGAGTGGCACTGATGGGATCTCAGATGTTTGGACGCAAGAAGACACCAAAGGTGCATGCAGAGCTTTTGGGAAATATCAATTAAAAGGATTCACTGGAAGACCCTCGGTTTGTAAGAATAAATGTAATTGTGAAAAAGCACGCAAGAGACTATTCGAGGTCTAGAATAGCATTTGAAAGTCAGGTTTACTGCAGTGTATCTGTTCATTAACAATTCATTTCAAGGAACTAGTTTCAATAAACTGATTCATTCACTGGTACATTTAAAAGTATTTTTTAAATTGTATTTTACATTTTACTTTCCAATACTAAAGTACAAATAACTTTGTACTTCTACTTAAGTACATTGGCTATATACCCGGACTTTAAATTGAGCAAAATTTTCACAAAATACCCATATAAAATGTCTAGAATATATTTATTTCACACTGTGTCTTCCATGGGTGCTGCGATTTTAAAAGGCTGTGTCAAGTTAAAACAGTGAAACTTTGAAAGCTTGTCTCAAGACGCATCAGCGTTAACGCTTGACGGAGGGCGTTTCTGAAGCTTGGTTCTGACACGACCGTCATAGTGACAACAGCCAATCACATTAGTCTTCTGGTGTTGCATGAACGCGATTGGCTAGCGTCTGCGCTAGGGTATTTGCATAAGGTCATCTGATTGGCTGACGCCTGCGTTGGCGCTTGAAAAGTTGTTTTTGAACACAAGAACACGTCCTATATGAACAGCTCCTTACTTATTCTGTGCTGCTTATCTCAGTAAGTGTGGTGTCCTGTAGTAGCGTGTGTCAGGGGCCGTTCACACAAGACATGTTCTTGCATTCGAAATCAGCTAGCCGCAGTGAAATGAAATAAAACGTGTGTATTGAGACACTTAAGTTTAACTGTGTTTAACTTGACACAGTAGTGCTCATGGTGCAACACACATAAACTACCATACACTACCATTTTAAAGTCTGGGAGCAGTAAGAATTTAGTTTGAATGAAATTAATACGTTCGGCAAAGATGTATTAAACTGATCAAAAGTGACAGTAAAATACTTATAATAACTGGGACGACTAGAGTAAAGATTGCTGAAAATTCAGCTTTGCCATCACAGGAATATTACATTTTAAAATATATTCAAATTAAATATTTAATAATATTAATACTAATAACATAACTCTTTTCCCTGTATTCTTTAACAAATAAATATATAATTTGATCATGTATATGCAAGTTATATTTAAATATTCTAATACATTTTATATTTTTATATATCCTTATTTGTCATAATTTCTTAATTACCTTCTGACAGCCATAATAAGAACCCAAAAGAACGATTTGTTTGAAAATCAGACATCAGTAGAAAAGATCTGCAAAGAACCAGAGAGATGCTGAAAGAGGAATGAGAAACAGAAGAAGTGAGAAAAGGTTGTTGGTAAGTGTTAAGAAGAGGGTTACGAAGAGAGGGAGAGAGCAAGAGAAAGGCATGATATAAATAATAGCTAGGATTTAATATGTATGAGGCGTCCGGGCAGTTGTCCACAACACTCTCTCCGTCTGCTTCTGACTGATGGGAGAGGAGCAAGAGAAGAGGACGAGGAGGAGGCAGAGGAAGAGATGGGGAGGGGGTAAAGTGATGGGTCTGCATACTAATCAGCCCAGGATCAATTTCCCACCCCATTCGCCCCTCCACATTTCCCAGATGCTGTGGCTTTGGCCGTGGAGAGGTGAAGAGAGGCTAAGCTCCTAGACCTCCATCTAGGCCTGAAGCTTTGGCTTCTGTAGGGCAAGCAGCCTGGAAGCAGGCATATCATCCCGCTCTCAAGGTCCCTGACCCTGCGTAATCCGCCTAAGGAACCCTACTGTCTTTCGAGAGGTCACAGGGATTAACCAGAACGGATGGCTCTATCTACGATGGCGTGTCATGACCTCTGGCACCAGGTAACAAGTGGGGTCTTATGCTTACAGTTAATGGATTTCCTCCTGCGTGACCTCTGAGACCCAGACAGAGGCCGGAGTGAAGGACCGTTGCGGCGTAAACACTACCAGGACACGCTTGACTGAACTGATATTTTTGTGATCCTAAAAACCTTCTGATCTTAGGCTTTTGAAATGCTTGTAATTATTTTTGTATACAAAAATAAAGTTAGTCCAATTTATTTTATATTTTAGAATTATATATTAAAAATATTCATAGAAATAGTTTTTATTTGAATAAAAAAATGTAAATATAAAATTGTATTTACTTATTTGAATGAATTGGACCAGATAATAAAGGAAATGCAACAAGTGTCCAACATTCCTGGAGGTAGCCCATGATGTTGGAACAGAAAACATCCAGCAGAATCTAGACGAATGGTGGCAATTTTGACGCATTTCAAATGTAGGAACATTTTAATGACTTTAGAATGACTTTTAGAAACAGGGTAATAATACATTGGCTATTCTCCAAAACCTAGCATGCAGCCTTCCTTGACCGATCCAGAAATTAAAGCTCCTTTTTACGATTTCTGCAAAATTTTGATGGCCAAAAAAGTCAATTGTCTATTGTTAGTAGTGTAAGCGATGTATTAATCACACCTCACATACAGTAGAAGTCACTTTCAAACCAAGCAGCTTTCTGTTGGTCAGTGCAGCAAGATATTGTAATTGTTTGGGGAATATTTCACCCTCATGCAAAATTCAAGATTGCATGGATTGCTTTACAGTGAAGGTAATCCCAGAATGCTCTGTGCCAAGCTCAGTAAAAGTATTCAAGATTGCAGACATGAAATTTTAACCAAAAATAAACATTCATCATTGAATACAGAAAACCATCAATAAAAATAGTTCACTATAATATATTCAATAAAAGTTGTATATACATAAATATTTAATCGAATTAAATATTTAATATATATCCAATATTTTTGTCTGATGTGTATTTTTTAAGTGAATTACTAATGTCAAACTGTATTAGAATCAATTGTGAGACGTGTGTCTGATGCATGAGTACCACTGTTTTCTGTCGGGAGTTTCTGTTTATGTAGCCTGTTTCAAATCAGTTAATTTAGGATTTAGGATGCTGCCTAAAGGTGCTATCACACATTTACCATCGTTGGATGAATGTTCACAGGTGAAATCCAGTCATTTTTATATTTAATAATTCCACCCAAACTGGAACTTTGCATCAGGTCAAAAGATTTCCTCATGCAGATTTTGGAATGGGTTCAAGTCAGGATTCGCTGCATTGACCAACCGACAGTTGCTTAGTTTGAAAGACTTGTTTTTTGTTCATGAAGTTATGCCAAAATTTCACTAATGTTATCGCCAGAGCCTTTTCACTGGGGAACGCTGTGCCCCAGTAAAATAGTACTGCTAAATTCTTACGTGGCAGTGAAGATTACCAACCTGAGAATCAATCAGCTTATCTTCATTATCATTCATTATGCATCAAAATGCATATTTGTCATTTTAACTGAACTTAGGACTGGTTGTGGTGCAATGGAGACAATGTTGGTCATTCTATAAAAAAAACTAACAATAATATTAACTGATTATATAATAATAATAATAATTCTGTTACTAATAACAACACAAAACGTACTAAGATCTGGTGAGCTGCTGGGTTAATGAATATTAATCACATTGTTTGTGTTTGCTCTAATTTACTGAAATAAAAACAGTGACGGTAATAGGTGAGCGCCAGCCAATGAGATTGCCGTTTGCGCATTAGTTCCGCCCACAACCAAAGAAACCGGAAGTGACTTCTGCTTGTTCTTAAAGGCTGAATAATTCCAAATAAACTCCACTATTTTGACAGGAAAATACACCAAAGAATATAATTTACACGTAGAGCATCAATTCTACAGAAGACTGGCTTGCTCTCCCTCTTTTTGCATGTGTGAGAGTTTTATGGTGCGGCAAATACGCTGTGCATCCATTGAGATGAATTGAAATAGTGCGCTTTAAATACAGAGAGCGAAACTCTCAACGTGCAGTGTTAAAAATGAGTGAAGGCAAGTGAAATATCTCCGTTTAACTTATACTTAGCCTCCAACTCAAACACTGGCGAGTGTAATATAACAATTTATTAGCCAATGGCTAACGATAGACATTATTTGGTCGCCTAGCATGTAAATTTAGTCACATGATTTACTCGCATTGAGGGTTGCCAGGGATGCCAGACTTTTCTCTTTTGATCTAATCAGTCAAGAAGGTTTGCAAAAAGTCTAAAACTGTTCAGTTTGATTCATTAGGACAGTTACACACTGAATCGTTTGCAGTGGTTTCTCGCATCAAAATAATAACGGGATCGTTTTTAAGACTGAAGGATAAGGAGGATATTTACCTACAATCCATTATAGAAAACCAAACTTACAAATGTCTTCTATTGCTTGTCAACGACAAAGCAGCTCTTTATTACGTGTGAAGCTTGTACTACTTTGTACTTCAGCTAAAGACGATTTATATCCAAAACTTGAAAATATGGGCACAGTTGATGTGCCTGTGCCCCAATGCTGGAAAAGGCTTGAAACGCCCCTGGCTGCTGCACCTTGAGAATGTGGTTCAAATTAGAAAGAATCATTAGCTTCCAGACAGCCAGACAAAATAAAACCTCTTTTGAACATGCGTCCTGCTCGTGCAGGTATTCGGGAATCAGAGCTTGTCAATAATGAAACAGCAAGACGGCCATAAAGGGTTGACCACTCACAATTCCACTTGTTCTCCTCAACCAGCCGAACTCATTCACATCTATTTTCCCTCCTAATCTCAGTATCTGTCCTCCCATCCCCCCTCACACCCATCCCAGAGTGTGTGTGTTTGTGTGTGTGTGTGTACTCTTTTTTGCCACACAATCAATGTGGCTTTTAAGATGTCTATCGATTTGTTCCCGAGACAGACCCCGGCTCGCTGGAGCGACGCTTTGATTGCTGTGCGAGTAATTACTGTTATTATTTATGCATCTGGGTGAAATGGCAGGACTTAACATTCCCTGTACAAGAGGCCACAGGCAATCAACAGAGAGCAAGCACCTGGAGAGGCGAGAGGCTCAAGAGAGGAAGAGAGCTGGAGAAATGAGCACAGGGAGATTCACAATACACAAAAAACACAATCATAGATGAACACAGATGAAAGTATATGCAGGTCTTTTATAGCATACACTAGAACTGTCAGTCGATTTCAGATTTAAATTGAATTAACTGCAAGACATGTCAATTAATTAATCGATCACATTGATTGCATATTTCAATATTTGTCTAATATAGACGTATTGATCTACACAAAAAGCATTCTTGCATTTCATGCAATTACATAAATGTAAAAAAACATATATTTAAATGTAATATTTAAAATGTAAAAAAAATTATTATAATACATTTAGTTAATATTTATAATAATTTAATATATTAATTGTTAGTCTATAGACTTTTTTTAAACACTGGGTTAATTTAAAATTAAATTAAAATAATAATAATAATAGGTAACACTTTACAATAAGGTCCCATTAGTTAATTAGTCACTAACAACGAGCGATGCAATTGTTACAGTATTTATTAATCTTTGTTAATATTAATAAAAATACAACTGTTCATGTTAGCTAAGGTACATTAAATAATTTTAAAAGACAACTTTTGATTTTAGTAATGTATTACATGTTTGAATGATGTTTAAATGTTGAAATTAACATTGATAAATAGTTTAAAAGTATTTTTCATTGTTAGTTCATGTTAACTAGTGTAGTTATCTAATGTTAACAAATGAAAACCTTTTTGTAAAGTGTAACCAAAATAAATGCACTAAATTAACACATTAAATTAACAGCCCAAGCATAAAGTATGCTACAGTTTATAAGCGCTTTCGTCTCACCTGTGAAAGGCCAAGGTAGATGGACACAGTCTCTGAGATATACAGAAATCGGCCTTCCTGACTGACCACAAACACAAATCCATCCAGAGACTGCAAAGAGAAAAACAATTACGAATCACTTGTCTGTTCTACCTGAAAGCAGAAGTTTTGCACAACACAGCACAATCACAGCCAGTCATATCTGATGTTTAGTGTCAATATAAAGTCAAAATTGTCATTACTTAAAAAAAATCATAATCTTTCATCAAAATAAGTAAAAAGTAACTCAAAATGCTTTATTTTTTCAATTGCTGTGACCAAACCCTATTTTCATTTTATTTCTAAAGTGCCCCTATTGTGTATTTTTGAAAATGACCTTTCATGCAGTGTGTAACAGAGTTCTAAGTGAATGAAAACACCCTGCCAAGTTTTAAATCTGAAAGTGCACCGTGTATAAAGTTATTGTCTCTCAAAAGAAAGAGTCGACTCTGAATCATTGAAACCAGTCGTTTTTAAAACGAATCCCAAGATGAAAATGAGACCAATCGGACCAATCACCGCAGATTAGTGTCAGGCAAAGGAGGGGTTTGGAAAAAATGAATCGTTAAACAAATCGTTTGGGAATCCTTGAGCAAGTAAGTTAAAAATAAATGCATATTATAAAACAATGAAAGTGTTTTTTGACCTTGCATGCATGTCAACCTGTTGTTGGGGACTCCCAAAACCAAAATATGAACCTTTCATAACCCATAATAGGGGCACTTTAATATTTGATTTTATCATTTCATGTAGAGTCCATTAATTACACTCTTTCACTTTGTCACATTATGGAAGTAAACCTGGTTGTGAATGCTGTTTTATCTGTTTTAAAGTAAGCACATTTCAGACTTGAAGGAATCAATCCTGAGCAGCAATACAACACTTCTGAACAAATCTCAAGATTTATATGGAATCAAGCTGTAGACATGAGCATCGACATCAAAGCAAAAACAACATGAGCGAAGAATCAGACTGATTCAGAGAGAAACCACAACAGCTTCAAAATAAACTCTGGTGCACCAGACAAGTGGCTGGCAGATGAAAAGCATACAGTCACCCCATTAAAAGACTAATATTAATTGCAATAACACACACAGGCACGAGTGAAGCAGAGTGGGCACTTTAGTTGAGACTGACTGATGTTGTGGCGGTAGTCATTTATGCAAGTGACAAGTTCACTATGCAAATGAGAGTGGACCGGAATGACGGGAATGCTTGAAATAAAGCACAATTATCTAGTTATTACTGACAGAGGACGAGACAAAGAATCATAAGGATTTTCAGAAGTGTTAATTTGATTTCTATCAGCGCCGTCCGTCTTTGAACAATTTAAATTTTTCTCAAGGTAACCTTCTAATAACATTTTTTTAAATCTCGTACAAATTGCCCTTTTCAAGTCAGACATCCAAATTCCAGGATTTATGGCACACAGATCATCTTAAACAATAAAGCAGATTATTTACAAAAGTGGACCCAAAAAGTTTGGACACAACATGTGTGAATAATGTATGAATGTTATTGCATTGGGTAGTTAGGTAGTTTTTTTTTTTTAATTCCACTGCACTACTTTTTTATTGTTTTTCTATGTAAACACGGATTAGACAGACATCTTTGAACATTGCTCTCGCATCTCACATCTTTTGCAGCAGCTCACATGACACACATTGTAAAAACGTTACACTTTTATAAAACACATCTTGAGAGCTTGCGTTTTTTCCCCATTCCGCTGTATTAATATATAATAAGGGTTTATATATTAGTAATATTGTGAAATATTGTTGCAATATAAATTCAAATCTGAATCTTCAACACCATTACTCCAGTCTTCAGTGTTGCATGATCCTTCAGAAATCCTTCTAATATGCTGATTTGCTGCTGAAATCGGCAAATTTCAAAAACAAAAAAAACAGTTGTGCTGCTTAATATTTTTGTGGAAATAATTTTTGCCGGATTCTTTGATGAATAGAGGTTTTAAGAAACAGCATTTATTTGAAATAGAAATCTTAAGTAACATTATAAATGTCTTTACTGTCACTTCTGATCAATTTAACGCATCCTTGCTTAATAGAAGTATTAATTCAAAAATAAAATTAATAATATAAAAAAAATCTTGTTAACCCAAAGCTTTTAAATGGTGTGTAAAAAGGCCTAAAATATCAAATAATCTAAAGCGAAAATAATTTTACAAAATTAAGAACAATAACAATTTAAGAGTGCAAGAGTCACATAACAAATGCACTTTACATTAATATTGTTCATAACATTAACACCTGTAAATTACATAAACAAAACTTATTTTTACCTGTAGTAGATGAGCTCCCAGGTGCTGTTCAAATATGTCAGTGACCAGCGAATGACTTGTTCTTCGCACTGCAAAAAAACAAGTTAAAAAGCAATCACATAATGTTCAAGCAGCTGTTTAAAGCTAAACATGTCATTTCAACAGAAATTATATTTGATATCTAATGCTACAAAGCCCACAACAACCTAAACAGATCAATCGATCACTATATGTAACTTTTAAAAAGAAAAGTAGGATTACTGTGATGATATAAACATACAGGCATAAAGAACAATTCCAACCTCTTTAACATAAATTCTAATATTCTTAAACATGACACATCTTGACAGTCGCACTATTAGTTTACTACAGGAGGAAACGGCTGTTAATAGCATTAAGCGGCTGTTAATGCACCTTCCCAGTTCTTTACTGCTGTTTCAGAGAGACTATCAAAGACAGCGAACGTCAGAGACATGCTAATTCACCCTCAGCACACAATAGCATCCTGGGCCGCCTGTCATCACAAAACAAACCAATTTACAAATCACACAAATGACATTGGTGCATTGCAAACATGCCTGGCTCTGATCTACGCTGTGGAAGCCCAGCTGAAATTCCCTGCACTCACAGCAGGACGTCCATGTGTGTGTGTGTGTGTGTGTGTGTGTGTGTGTGTGTGTATATATCTAATTTGTGTGTGTGTGTGTTGTGTGTGTGTGTGTGTGGCTGGGATGCGTGTGGCAATCAATAAGTGTTTTGAGAGAGGATGACAGCATTTGTCTGAGTTGCTACTAAACGGGAGACAGACCGTGAGCTCACTTCTCGAAACCCTTTTCCCGCGGTACTCCTGCCACGATACAAGTGTTCACCTGACAAAATACACAGCTTCAGGAAGAAGCGTTCAGCGAGACATTAGAAACAAAAAAGAAAGGTATAGTTGACCTAAAATAGAAAATGTTGTCATCATTTATTCACCCTCATGACAACCATCGGGGTACACCTTAGCATCATTTTAAAAAGCATTTTTTAAGCATTTATTAGGCAAATAATATACTTAAAGTCCCCATGAAATCAAAATTACATTTTTTTGGCTGTTAGTAATTCAAACAGTGTAAATATGCTTTCCATTGAGGAAAAAAAGCGCTGTGTCACGCTAACCACCGCACCGCACACACACTCTGCGCCGGTCCAGAGACACGATAGCACGGAGCGGATCACATGCGCGAGTCGGCGCAGACCA